AATAATGTTTTTAATTCCAGTGGTACTGAGGGATTTCCGCGGGAAATTCTAGCATGTCTTTGCGTCATTACGTCACATCTGTAACACATAAAGAAGGAGTCTCGGCTAGTAGGCTATGTTGCGTGTGAGGATGTTGGAGGTGGAGATTTAGAGCCTTTTCTCACAGCACTTGATATAATTAAACTTATCAATTTGATGGCGGATCCAGAAAGGTTCAAACGACAATTACCAGTGACAACTGGAGATTCACCCATTGTAAAATGCAAAAGACTTCAGAGTGGGTACAGAAAAAAAAAAGAGACTGCAACCGGGCCCATGCGAAAACAAGGATAAATATCGGAAGGGCTTTCACGCAATGCTGATGTTGTTAACATTAACAATTTGAGAACAAAGTATAAATTGCACGGTTTGGCGTGATATAAGCGATCGTTAGATTTAATTAGCGCGATTTACTGCAATGCTTTTTTCCCCCTTTGTTGGTCAGAACAAAAGTGGATGTTACTTGTTCAGATGACATTTTAGGGTGAAAATTCTTATGTTGGTCATACTTCCAAAAAGTAAAATCTGTGATTCTGAATGCCAGTATCCACATCGGCGCGGTGACTGACAGCCGCACATTCTCCTCAAAACATTGGATTCATCTGCGCTGTGCCGTGTCGAGGCACAACCCACGTAAAGTTGATAATTCCGCGAATAACTACAATAGCAGATTTCGAACAGAGATGGCGAAAAAGAGGAAAAACTACAGACTGCAGCTATATTTAAATAGCTATGAGAATGTGCTTGTTAATGTACTAACAAATCTCATTAAACTTAGATTCATATATTACCTAATGCACTTTTTTACATGTGTTCATGTTTTTGCAGTACCCAATCTAAAGTTGAAACTATTCATTATTTGTAGATGTTTATAAATGTTTACTATACCTTTATATGCTTTTGAATTTTAGCTACTGTTACAACATTTGTGTAAAGGGTGGTTAGTTAAAGGCACACTGTGGAACTTTTCAACCTTTATAATATATTACCAAAACCCATTGAGATGGTACATCGACTTACAATAGGTTGAATGACACGTCTGCCGTAGCCTGAAGGTGTCTGTATCGCTTTTCCTAGCACTATGTAACTTCGGGGTTCGGGTAGGTACCCGAGCACAAAAAGAACTACAAAATTCGACTGCTTTACGGCATACGTCACTTCCCCCACCACCCACAACTTCCTCAGATTCTGACGTGAGTGCTCAACTCGCGTTTGATTGCCGTCTGTATGTTTTCGTCATGGCCGAACCAACAGCTACAAGGAAGAAGGCAAAGGTTTTGTCAGAGGACACTAAAAAAAAGAAAAAGGCATAGTGACAAATGAAAAGCCAGGACGAGGATCACCATTGGTCCAGCGTTCGCTCGCTGGCGTGAGCTACAGGAGGAGGATGGGTGCCCGACCGATGCTAACGCTTGCCTGCACACAAATGCCGTTTCCAAGGTGACACAGATAAATCAAATAAGCAGTGTAGTATTTTCTGGTATTCCGGCCACAGCCGATGGTGTTATGAGTGTAATAAAATGCCCACAGCCCATTGTTCATTTCTACACACAAACACAGCCCGCCACAGTGCAGGGCTCGCACAAATAAAATCGACTCATGTCAAATGTATACATTAAATGTAGTGAACGTTCCCACGACTCAGTGCCCACAAACACTACACACAACATGTCCCACGGTTTCTGTAAAACGAAACCAACACACATAAGTTACAGTCAGCTCAGGCCGACGGTGATTTTAGTGCAGTAAATGTGCCCGGCCCGCCGTCCCGCGCCCACATTCACTCACAGACATGTTAGCACTAAGCCGCTCGCTCTCTCTCAGCAGACTGCTATAAGGGAATCGAGCGCGGCCAGGCTGCCCGCCTCAAACACTGCAAGCACACACAATCTAAAGACACGGGAAGCTGACCCACTGTCTATGGGCGGACCGGTTGACTTTTTGTTGACTTTTGCGACAGTGCTGCGGAGCTTGTGGCCTCTAGGGACGCTAGACGTGAAAGTTACAGGTCGAGCGCCACTAGTGGCCAAAAGTTCCGCAGTGTGCCTTTAAGTAAGAACATGAACACAATAATGTCAACGCTGAGTAACTTCAGTAGAAATGTTAATTGACAACAGATGAATGATATGGAGAAATGACAGAGAAGGATGGCAGCCTGTAATGGTGCGTGGCACCACACACACCTTTAGATAGCAGACATTAGAAGAATGCAGTTCTTTTCTCTTACAGGTCTTGCTGGTAGGAACGGGTGAAGATGGATTCCAGGAGTTGGAGAACGGGGAAACAGACGAAGGTAGATAATCACAGGTGAGTAACATATTCAGTGTAATGGCAGTCCTAGTCGTAGACTAGACAAATTGTGTGTGATGCAGGCTTTTATGCAGAGCTGCTAATGAGTATAATTAACGACAGGTGCGGATGATGACAGACTGAATGCAGTTGGAAGCCAGGAAGGATGCTGGGAAACATAGTGCAGATGTGACTGAAGATTGTGACCGTGACAAATAAGTTCAGTGTACTTTTATTTTTTTTTTTTTTACGTAAGTACATAGTTAAAGACAACTATAGGCTATAAAGTGGGACCAGTCATGTTCATTTTTCTGTTGAACATCCAGATAACTCATACCAAACACCTTTTGTACTTTTGTAAATCTCAAAAATTTCCATTAGGTAATAATATATGAACTGAAGTTTAATGACATGTAAGCATTTTAATTGACATTAAATAATGATCTGTTAAGCATTATAATGTTTGTTAATTATTGATTAATGAAAGTTATTATAAAGTGTTACTAGTTAACCTTACTATCCTTAAAAGTTTGACAAAATAGCTAATTGTGCATGTACCCATACTGTTCAATAGTTTGAGCCAGTAAGTTTTTTTTTTAAAAATAAAGTAATACTTTTATTCAGCAAGGTCTTTGGTGACAATAAAGACTTTTAGCATTATTACAAAAATGTTTTTCAAATGTTCTTTTGAGCCTTAAAGAATCCTGAATTTTTATATTAAGTAGGACAACTGTTTTTAACATTGATAATAATAAAATGTTTCTCAAAAAAAAAATGTTGGTCATCAAATGCAGCATATTAGAATGATTTCTGAAGTATTTCTGAAGTGACACAGACTGGAGAAATGGCTGGTGAAAACTCATGCCGGAATAGGCTGAATACAATAATAGAAAGGAAAGAGAAATAGTGTTTAAAAATATTACACATTATTATTGTTTTTGTAGGCTATTTTAATCAAATAAATGCATTGGTGAGCATTAGACACTTCTTAAAAAAAATCCAAACTCAAGCGATGATATGGCCCCTTTTGCCTTGGGCAGTTAACTGACTTCAGATGACTGTCTGTATAGCTGAGCATTTGACTAAATGTAAACAATGTGATTAAACGGTGTCAGTCAATTACCTCCATTTTTGTAACTGGCAGTTTGTTGTGAGGTCTCTACACATTAGTGGCTTGCATCCTTTAGTATTTATAATCCTGTCCTTTGCCACTAGCCTGTAAATATTGTAAATATATAGTTCTACGCTCGGTCATTCATTTAGGCTACAATTTCACTGTTTATAAAAAGATTGATAGCTGCAACACCTTGAGCTATTCTCCTTGAGCTCAATATATAGGCTACACTTTTTAATAAGTAGCTATAATGACTACAAAATGACAACGAACAACGATTGAGAGTTTAAAGACCTTTACAGTCACGGAGAATAAGGTCTCTATCAGATTGTGTGCAGAGCCGATCCTGGCATCCCTGGGGCCCTAAGCAAAAATCTGTTAAGGGGCCCTCCTACCTGACCCATGAGCCATGTAAACCATTTGCCATTGCCACAGTCACACCTGACACCCCAGTTCTCCCACTACAATCCTCCCTCGTTTAGTTAGTACTAATGAAAATGTAATTCCTGATATCAGAAATAGACATATTTTATATTAATATCAATAATTCACATTTTAAATAGTACAATAAAAGCAATAATTGATACTTAATGGTTATTATTTACTGATTGATGTGCATCCATATTGACCAGTATGTCCAGCCAATCAACATTTTAAATGCAATAGTCAATATCAATAGATTGCTTTCCATCTTGCTTTATTGCAGGGTTGTAACTATTCTGATTTGGAGACTTGATAATCATTGTCTTGTTTTAAAGTGAGCGCCTAATGAGGAGTGCCATAACGCCCATATTGTACTGGTAACTGGTCCCCATAGATTTTTTTTTTTTCTGGAAAGTGCGCGTTACATTTCGTGCACGCGCATATGAACTCATGTTAACGCGCGACGCGGTTATCTTTTCCGAGCTGCAGTTTATAAACGAAAACCGTTGCCCTTTGTATTATCAAACGTAATATCATGAAAGTGCGTATCTATAGCCTACCACGAATTTAATTCATCGTGCTATTTATACGCCAAAAATGTTTTTTTTGCGTGCATATGCTACGCACTGTAAATCTCTTGGGTAGGATTAGGGGTGTGGAGTGCGTGCATATTACACGCCAAAAAGTGCGTATCATATGGCGCAAAAACTATTTTTGGCGTATAAATGGCACGAGAAATTAAATTTGTGGTATAAATACGCGCTTTCATGAGATCGGGCTGGAGACAGACAGATAGAGAGAGATGCACATCAACTTAACTTTACTGTTCTGTTCTGTGCTGACATCAAACTTGGAGAGGAGAGAACACAAGTTTACCTGATCGCTGTTCCCGCAATTCACTCACATGGTGTTTTTCTCTCAGTTTCTCTTTTCGTGACCAGAAGGATAGTTCCGCTTAATTATCTCATCGATGTTGTAAACTTTGATTGACGCGCTTTGACGCGAGGGGGAGGCGGGGCCTTGAGTAATTTGCGGGGCCCTACGCAGCTTGCGTAGTGTGCGTATAGGGAGGATCGGCTCTGATTGTGTGGAGCTCTTTAAATTGTCCATCGGTGCGCGCGCGTGTGCGTCCGCGCGCGCGTGTCAGTACCGAGACGAGCGAGCGCTAGCGGAGGCAGCAGTGGCGCATCTCACATATATCTGCCGCTGGAATATAACGGCTGCTTTAGGATGTGAACGGGTTTCGGCCTCGTCACCGACCAAAGCTTCTGTTTTCCCATGACAAACAGATGCGACAAGAGAACAAGCGAGCGCGAGAGTGAACGGTACAGTGGAGCGGAGAGATCATCGGTATTATTATGAGAAAAGAGGACGGGGTTGTCGGAGCCGTATTTGTTTTGCTCGCGGAGATGAGGCGGGGGGTAGCGAGTCGCTACAAAATCGTTGGGCTCCGGCCAAGCATTACTCTGTTTTAGCACATATATACCGCCGCGCTTGCGTTTACATCGTCAACAGACGCGTTTGATCGCTACGGTTTGCATCGCAGAAAAATAATGCAGCTGTCTCGAGGACATCTGTGAGATTTGCCGCTGCCATGACAGACGCAGGCTTTACCGAGCAGGCGGTTTGAGACGAGCACGGCCCCAGCTGTAGCAGCACGGCCGATGTGGGCTGCGTTTACCGGGGGAGATTAAATCTGCATACTGTTCGCGCTATTCCTCTTTAACCGTTTGCAATCTCAGGGAAAAATGTCCTCTCGGTCTGCTTTACCGTCTGCGAACGACCGGAGCACAGATCATGTAAGTATCATCATTTCAAATTAATTATTATTGTTGTATCATCTAGGCGCTCCGTTTCCACACATATCCTACAACGCCCAGAATAACGTCAGATGCACGGTCATTTTTGCTACCGGGATTGAATATCAGGAATTCATTGCCTGGTATCGTTCATTCATGGGAGGATGGAGAGGCAGGATAAATACAGTGGCCCATGTACGCGTAGCAGGTTCTTTGGCAAAATGGGCCGCGTCCTTGCATGTGCAAAGCAGCAAAAGAGGCGCTGCGAAACGCGCAGGCCATCCGCATAGTGTACACATCAGCGCATCATCTGCGCACGAGCGCGCGCTCCTCTCCCAGAGAGCGGTTTTGCTTCATTGGCAGAATTTGCGGGAGAATGGCAAGAAGCTCTGAGCACTCTGTCTCTGCAGATTAGAAAATGAATATAACCTTTTGTGGCACCAGAGTCATATAGGGAGGGTGAGGTTTTAGCGTTAGCTGTGATCTGCCGTCTCCGTTCGTCTACAGTTGCATGCTCCATGCTCAGACGCACTGGCTGGTGTCGTGGCCTACCAGTTCTGCGCCAGAACATAACAGTGTTTTATTAACTGACCTAGACTTGTGTTGGTTAATGTATTTAGTGTTGCTTCAATATCTTATTAAACAATCTAAAACAACTATGGTTTTAATTAGCCTAATTTATTTACTTAATAAAAGAGAGTGCTGTTGATGTCAAATCTATAGGGATTCAATTTATCTGACGTTTGACTGATTGAAACTGTCTGAAACCTTATAAAAAAAGTATAATAAAGCAAAAAATCTCAGCTGATGGTAAAGCTTAATGAATATAATTTTACTTGCTGTATATTTTAAAGCAAGCACCAAGGTAAACGTTTTAAGTAATTCATTGAAGTGTGCACAACTAACAAAATGTTATGTGAAGGATCATCAGGTTGTTGATGTCTTAACCGATTTGCATTTCTACTGTCTGGCTCACAATTATACATTCATTCATTCCCTTCTCTTTTTATGTACACTGCAATGTTTTTTTATATAAGTCTCTGATGCTCACCAAGCCTGCATTAATTTGATCAAAAATACAGTAAAACAGTAATATTGTTACAATTTAAAAGAACTGTTTTCTATTTGAATATTTTTAAATGTAATTTATTCCAGTGATGTCAAAGCTGGATTTTCTAAATCATTACTCCAGTCTTCAGTGTCACATGATCCTTCAGAAATCATTCTTATATGCTGATTTGCTGCTCAAAAACATTTCTTATTATTATCATCAATGTTGAAAACAGTTGTTCTGCTTAATATTTTTCAATGCTAAATTTTTTCAGTTTTTTTTTATGAAATTTCTAAAGAACAACATTTATTTGAAATGGAAATCAAACATTATAAATGTCTTAAAGGTCACTGTTTGATCATTCGTTTGCTAAATGTTTTCTTACTGACCCCAAATGTTTTGAACGGTAGTGAACGGTAAAAAATGACTAATTTCTTTCAAATTCAGCATTGTTATTCTTTAGACCAACTGCCGAAACATGCACAGGATTCTGGGATGTCATAGACAGCAAATGATAAATCTGTTATCAAAAACCAACCAGATGAAGACATCTTAATAAATAGTGCACAAATGTTGGATATGGATGTTGACTTCTTACCTGTGTGTATAAACTGCAAAGGCAGCATTTTTGAGCTTTCAGACAGTTTTAGAGAACACTAAATGGTGGTTATTAAATGTAACTCTGTAGTTTAGTACATGATGTATCCTTACATGGGACAGAGACATACAGGATTTTAGGATACAGAGCTAAGATAATGTGCATGGTACATTTTATTGAGCAAACATGTTTTGACCATAATATACCATTATGGAAAGTTGGGGCATTTAAAGGTCTTTGCATAACATAAAACAACCAGATCATAAATATAATGAAAATGTGAGCCAGAACTGGCTTATTGGTTAAGCCTACTTAACACCCACACATGCTCTCTCACATTTGGGATTCTCCCAACAAACCCTTTTCAAATAGGAGCAGTCTATGCTATATTCTTTATTTATTTGGTTATAATTTTTCAAAAATAAGAGGGAACCTGGTGCACAGTGTGTGCAGTTTGGCATATTGTGTATATAGCCTATAGCGTAGGATGCTGTGTGTGAGGTAGAGTCCAGTACGGCAGGGCATCGTTAGTAATTTATTCAATCCCTGAGCTGTAATCCCGTGGTCAGCGGTGCAGATGTGGACCTGCATGGGCATGTTTTGATTTCTGTGCGAGCTCCTTCCTCTCCCCTCTTAAGGGGGGCAGTTGGAGCCATTCAGTAAACTTCACCAGATGTTAGTTTGAGTGTTCAGGGTTCAGGTTTAAATGTGCTAATCTGTTTCAGCAGCGACAGACTAAAACCTCCATGGCAAAGTAAATTAATCCTGTATTATAGGGCAGAATTACTCAAACACCAATGCTTAAGCTCTCCTATACCATCATCACATCAGCCATCTAAATGATAATTCATATGATTTCAGTCACCATTTATTAAGGTTGTGCATGTGTTTGTGTTTCGCTGTGAATTTTTAAAATTAGATTTCATGTTTATCACAAGAAAGCTGAATTACAGCAACAAACTTCCCCTCAGATTTGCATATTTCTAAATAATTTTAGACCGTGTTTCACCGTGTGTATAACCAAACCTGTGAGGACTCCTTTAAAAGCAGTTACAAACCCTCTGTAAATGCGTGAACTAGTGATGCACTGAAATTATTTTTTTTACCAAAACATTGAAACCAAAATTAAAGCTTTATTTAGCCTAAAAACTAAACCTGAAAATGAAGGTTGAGTAATTAAATTGACCAAATTAAGCACAGGAATTTGTGCAGTTGTTTGCACGAAACAGACCCTGACATGGCTGAAACACATTAATGGAGAAACATTAATTAAATGCCACTGTTTCAGTCAATGGTATCGGCCCACCAAAACTATTTCGGCCGAATATTTTAGGTTGCCGAAATTCCGGTGCATCATTGCCTAATCCCAGATTTGAGCAACACAACTGTGACATTGTTCTTTTTTTAGAATTGTTCACACTATAGTAGTTAAATTAATTAATACATTAAATTAATAAGTGATGCAGTGGCCAAAGATAGCAAAACATTGGTATAAATAAATAAAATACTAATTTCTAGCTACTACAACAGTTGTGTGGCCCATCTGCATTAGTGTAGACTGATTTTTGTGTGTGTTAGTAAGAGGCTTAATCAGTAAATGAGGATTTAATTCAGAAATCTGGTGCAGTCGGTCAGTGCTGTAGCATTAGTCTGTTTCACTAAAGATTCCTTTCTTAAAACTTTCCTATTCCTCAATTAAATTCTGCTTTAATTAATTAAATTAATAAATCTACATGCGATTTCTGTGATCTGAGCTAACTAGGCTACTTGTCTTTTTTGCTGGCTAGACACACAGGCAGGTTAAATTCTTTCTTTGAGGCCATTTTCTTTTTTCTGTTTGCTTCAACAACAACACATATTCCCCAGTTTAATCCAGTCTATTTGTTAAAACTTTAATTAGAATAATCGTAATAAATTTTCTATGTGTCTGTCTCTTCGTCCAGCATGCATCTCTGGGGGCGAGTCGTTCAGAGAAGGGGACGAATGTGTCGAGTCGTTCACTGGGTGCCAGATGTCGTAACTCCATGGCCTCTAGCTCAGACGAGTTGCCCCACATCGGAAACTACCGGCTCCTTAAAACCATCGGCAAGGGCAACTTTGCTAAAGTCAAGCTAGCCCGCCACATCCTCACAGGCAAAGAGGTGAGAGCGAAAGAGAGAGTTTACATAGGTAAAACCAGAAGGGTGTGATAAGATGTAGGAGCTGCTGTAGTAGGTCTCATTCACATTAGAACACTTGTGAGCATTAATTCTTATTTCTTTGGGTGGTATATTTTTAAAGTGGTCCAACTTAAGTGTGAAAATTTCCACGCCCACGTTTACTTATTATAAACCAAAGCTGATATAGTGTGATTTTAGATGGACTTGTTAGTGGGCACCAACCATAATCTTGGACAATAATAGAATGTGATGTTTAAAGAGAAGTTCTTGCACACAGTGTTAAAATATGTACATTTCAACAAAAAAAAATCTAAAGTTTAAATACCATTATAGAAAGTTTGCATAATTAATAGTGAACTTATGTGTGGCAGTCTGGAGCCACGTATACACTTTGGGGAGTGACATCCGCATTTAAATGCAGATGAGAATCCCCTAAATTATGGTTGTGTATGGAATACAATCGTCACGCCCAGACTTAAAATGGTTGATATAACCATAACACTATTGTGGCTATAAATTAGGTAGCATGGATGCTAAAGGTTTTGTGCTCTTTTTGATTGAAGTAATGTTAGTGATCAGATACAATTTTTAATAAAATACCCATCAATGTGCTTTGTTTATACGCCTTAAGTTGTTACTAACAGCATGTGCTCTGTCTGAAGTGTACAGTATGAGTTACTTCTAGACCACATGGCTGGTGGGAGCAGCTACAGAAGAGACTGACAGACTGGCATGAGAATTTGCGAATGAGTCAAGACACATGGCTCTGTCTCTGACTTGCGCCACGTGAGAAGAAAAGAGACATAGACCCACATCTAATTACACTAGTTTTACAGTTGGGTGCTGTACCTGTACACATTTGGTTATCACTACCTGCATTTCTTTATTTATTCAGTATGGTTGTCACTCCTGAAAATGACCAAACCTCTGAAGCAAGGAGCAGTTTTATAACATTGACACAGATTTCTCTTCATATACTGTATTATTAAGCTATTTTATTATCTATCTTCTGTAGTATTCTAATAATAGAGTCAAATATATACAGTACTGGTCAAAAGTTTGGGTGTAGTAAGATATTTCTTTAGAAGTAATTAATACTTTTATTCAGCAAAGATGCATTAAATTGATCAAAGGTTACAGTAAAGACATTTATAATGTTACAATACAAAAAAATAAAATAAATGCTTTCTATTCATCAAAGAATTAAGAAATAATGCATCACGGTTTCCACCAAAATATTAAGCTGCACAACATTTTCAACACCGATGATAATAATAATAAGATTAATCATAATAAATGTGTCACAGTCATCGTCTGCACCATCCTGTCTTCGTCTTCACTAGACTTCCCAGAATCCCTCGTGTCTCCACCGTGACAGAAGAACCGACCAAACAAGAAGCATGGAAGTTACCCGCTTCCTTTTAACCCCAGCCAATGGTCTGGTCCATTGTTTTCAGGATGGCCTCCCAATTGAGGAATATGTGGCCAAATTCCTCGAAATTTCCCACCTCATGGACTGGGCTGACGATGTTTTGAAGACCGCATTCTGGTGCGGACTGGATGAATTGTTGTACCAGCACAGAGCCCTCACCACTGGTCCCGTCCAGCACAGAGCCTTCACCGCTGGTCCCGTCCAGCACAGAGCCTTCAACGCTGATCCCGTCCAGCCCTGAACCTTCACCGCTGGTCCCGTCCAGCCCAGAGCCTTCACCGCTGGTCCCGTCCAGCCCAGAGCCTTCATCGCTGGTTCCGTCCAGCACAGAGCCTTCATCGCTGGTCCCGTCCAGGACAGAGCCTTCACCGCTGGTCCCGTCCAGCCCAGATAGGTCCTCGCCGTGGCTGCCCGAAGGGCTGTCTCCGCCACGGCCGCCTGAAGGGTCTTCTCCGCCATGGCCACCCGAAGGGTCTTCACCGCCATGGCCACCCAAAGGGGCGTCTCCGCCATGGCCACCCGAAGGGTCTTCACCGCCATGGCCACCCGAAGGGTCTTCACCGCCATGGCCACCCGAAGGGTCTTCATCGCCATGGCCACCCGAAGGGTCTTCACCGCCATGGCCACCCGAAGGGTCTTCACCGCCATGGCCAGCCGAAGGGTCTTCACGGCCATGGCCACCCGAAGGGCCTTCACCGCCACGGCCACCCGAAGGGTCTTCCCCGCCACGGCCACCCGAAGGGTCTTCCCCGTCATGGCCACCCAAAGGGGCGTCTCCGCCATGGCCACGCGAAGGGTCTTCACCGCCATGGCCACCCGAAGGGCCTTCACCGCCACGGCCACCCGAAGGGTCTTCCCCGCCACGGCCACCCGAAGGGTCTTCCCCGTCATGGCCACCCGAAGGGTCTTCACCGCCACGGCCACCCGAAGGGTCTTCCCCGCCACGGCCACCCAAAGGGGCGTCTCCGCCATGGCCACCCGAAGGGTCTTTACCGCCATGGCCACCCGAAGGGTCTTCCCCGTCATGGCCACCCGAAGGGTCTTCCCCGTCATGGCCACCCAAAGGGGCGTCTCCGCCATGGCCACCCGAAGGGTCTTTACCGCCATGGCCACCCGAAGGGTCTTCCCCCGTCATGGCCACCCGAAGGGTCTTCACCGCCATGGCCACCCGAAGGGTCTTCACCGCCATGGCCACCAGAAGGGTCTTCACCGTCATGGCCACCCGAAGGGTCTTCACCGTCATGGCAACCCGAAAGGGAAAGGGCGTCTCCGCCATGGCCGCCTGCTCATCCTGTCTTCGTCTTCACTACACTTCCCAGAATCCCTCGTGTCTCCACACCGTGACAAAATGACACTGAAGACTGGAGTAATGACTGCTGAAGATTCAGTTTGGAATAAATTACATTTTAAAATATTTCAAAATAGAAAACCGTTATCTTAAATTGTAATCATTTTTCAGAATATTACTGTTTTTACTGTGTTTTTGATTAAATAAATACAGCCTTGCTTAAAATAAAATACTTATTTTAAGTATTAAAAATTCTTACCAACCCCAAACTTTTGAACGGTAGTGTACTTATTGTCATATTGTCTTATTGGATATTGTCATTTTTCATAACCAAGAATTGTTTAAACTGGTTTCCAGTTCCTCTAGCAAGTTGCTTTTGATAAAAGTATCTACTAATCAAATGACACTATAACAGGTTTGATTGAGTTTTTCTGGAGGCTATCTACCTGGCTTAAGGAAAAAAAAATGTTTTGGAGCTCAAATCACTAATTGTGATTTGTACATTTAGGTTGCAATAAAGATTATCGACAAGACTCAGTTGAACCCAACCAGCCTACAAAAGGTAAGACCATTATGTATATATTTAGTATTTATGTTTTCAAGACATTTTCTTCTTATTAAGACAACTGTCGACAAATGCCACACAATGATGTAATTTTAACACATTTAGTACAGAAACGGGAAAAAATATCCATGCACACTCTATATAAAGTGTCCAGAAAATCACATATTGAGTGCCACAAGTGAATAGTGCATATATAACTATATGCTTATCTAGAAAAGTTTGAGGCTCTTGGAAGTATTGCAGTAAAGTGTGTGTGTGTGTGTGTGTGTGTGTGTGTGTGTGTGTGTGTGTGTGTGTGTGTGTGTGTGTGTGTGTGTGTGTGTGGTGTTTAGTGTCTCTGTTGAGTCTGCGCTCTCGCCTGTATGCCAGTGACTCATCTGTCTCGTAATAGATTATCTCCGGCCTTCATTCCTCCTATTGAAGGCCAACACTCCACATTGCTCTGTGTTTGAGCATACATCAAGATTTTTTTTTTTGGATTATTGACAAACCTATGTTTGATAGACTTCTGTCTTTGAACACACTTGTGAAACAGTAGTTTTCAGTAAATCTGGATGGATCTTACATTAAATTTCAGCACAGACAACTGTGTTTAATTCAAGAGCTCCCATTTTGTGTGCAAAATTTGAAATGTAGTAACTTCAACATCAGTGATACTGTATGAACTGTCTTTTTTATGGGGAGCATATGCGTGTGAGTACAGTAATGTTTTTTTCTCTAAATATCTACTGTATTTCCATGCACTGTTTAGTTATGTTCATTTTATTCCAAAGTCTTCTGACTTATCTCTTTAAATCTGGCCATGGGCAGTCTTGTTTTCAAAATGCATCATTTGTTTGTGTGCTTAGTGTGTGTGTGTTGGAGAGGAGAGGTCGACAGCTGCGGTTCTCCACAGGCCCAGAATGCCCCACTGCGATTCAGTCTTGGCTCTGTAACACACACAGTTAACTGTACACAAACTGGAAACCACCCTTATTGAACATAAGTCACGTTTGGCTTTTTGATCACTCATATAGCTGATATGAGCTGGTATAGTGCTGGAATCACTGTTCAGTGGAGCATTTGCCAGTTGTTAGAGTAAGTGTTTGTCCCATACCTCTTTTCTTGCCCTTTAGTGTTGCACATAAAGGAAAGCTTAGAGATTTGTCCTGTGTCATGTTGCGTCATGATTTGTCTGGTTTGCTAGATGATAGTTCCTAATTGATCTCCCATAAAATAAGTATACAGAAAGTATGTTTACATGTGACATGGCACACTACAGCATTCATTCACAGTATGTGTCTGTCAGCAATGCTTCTTTCTAATCTTCTTCTATTCTTCTGATCTGCTTATTTTTTTGCAGTTAATTCAAACATCGCTGAACTCTTATGTCAACAACACAGTTTTACACATGTTTATTTTACTTTAGGAGTATCTAAAAGAACAAAATTAGGGCTAGGACTTTGCTCTATCCCCTGGTTGTTGATTGGATGATTGGATTGAGGCAGATCTAATATGAGCTTGCAGTCGATTGTAAGAACGGGGTGGGTTTAGGTTGACCAAATGACTGGAGAAGTCCAGCATAAGACACTTGAGAGGAATCTGTCGTTTCACTGTACAATCGTGTTAAGACATTTTGATTGAAAAAAAATGACTTGGTAAAAAAAAAAAACATGCATGGACATGGTCATTAAAGGTTCTCTAAGCGATGTCGGGTGACGTCACTTCTGGTTGACGTTTAAAGTATTGTCAAACAAAACGGAGGCTAGCTAGACCCTCCCTCCTCCTCATCCGCGCACTAACCCCCCAAACCCCGAAAAAAGTATGACGGGCCAGAGGTGGACATCTGGAGCCTGGGTGTCATCCTCTACACGCTGGTCAGCGGGTCTGTTCACAATACACATCATTTCAAAGCAGCTTTACAGAAAATGCACTAGTCCACATTACAATTTAGAGTGATCTGTTATCAGAGGTAACTGTCTAAGTTACGTATTTCAGAAATGTACATATACAAAATCACAGTTAGCGAAAAAGATATTAATTTAAACAATGTAATAATTTAATGCAGAAACAATGAGCTCATTGAAGTAATGAATACTTGTTTGTTAACAAATGATTATGACATTTAGAAAAATGTAGCATTTGTGCATGTTGATTCAGAGTTTGTGTCATCTGAAGTCTCCGCGGGAGCTGGCGCCGTCTCTTCATAGGTGTCGGGCATCTGAAGTCTTCATAATAGGCTGGATCCAAACTGGAGCTGACAAACTCTCTAGTTACCTCAGGATGCGCATCCCAAGATAAAACAGAGAAGCAAATAGAAAATAATTAGCGTAGCTGCTGTTCATTACATTAAGCAAGAATAATCATGTGCTTTTGATCTGATATAACTGTATAAGTTTAGGAGATGCATTATATTAATGTTTGGCTAAAGAGATGCGTCTTTAATCTAGATTTAAACTGGGAAAGTGTGCATGAGCCCCGAACATCATCAGGAAGTCTATTCCAGAGTTTAGAAGCCAAATGTGAAAACACTCTCCCTCCTTTAGTGGACTTACAGTAGATGTTCTAGGTACTATCAAAAGCCCATAGTTTTGTGACCTTAAAGAGCGTGATGGATTGTAGGGCGATAGAAGATTAGTTAAATATACAGGAGCTAAATCATTTAGAGCCTTATAGGTCAGTAGCAATACTTTGTAATTGATACGGAACTTAATAGGTAACCGGTGTAGAGATAATTGGTAATTATCGATAATTAGTTATATGATCTTATTTTCCTGACCTAGTAAGAACTCTAGCAGCTGCATTTTGGACTAATTGTAGCTTGTTTATTGAGGATGCTGTAAGATCAATAATAAACATTAAGACAATATATAGGGTGAATTTCCATTGCATGCCAACTTTAAACTGACAGTAACAGTTTTTAAATAGATTTAGTGGATTTTTGTTTTTGTTTTAACACAATATTGTGCTTAGTCATAATGAAAGAATGAGGCCATGTGATAAAAAATAGAGGAGTATTGTGATTAGCTTATAAGTCGACAACCCTCAGTAACCCACAGAGTTGAGAAAAACAGCTGATACAGATTGGTGCAGTTTCCACAGCAACATGAATGGTATATTGGGTACTCCCTTCAGACTGAGAGACAACAAAATACAGAAGTATATTCTATCTGGATTTTACTGTCCTACCTTGAGGCTGACGTTGATGATAATACGAATATCAGTATATTCTGGGAACAGAATTTAAATGTCATTTTTTTTCTTGATTATCACTGAAGAATCACACCACCCTCTTTTTCTTACTTTCTTTCTTTTTTCTCTTGCAGCTGTTCAGAGAAGTGCGGATCATGAAGACCCTTCATCACCCCAACATTGGTAAGATGCACTAAAATGCAACTAATGCCTGCACGAATGCTGCTTTTATAATAATGACTGTGCAAAATAATTAGCTAATGCTGTTTAAACGTAAGCTTTCCAAAAATATTTTATCTCTTATATATTACAGTGCAACTCTTTGAGGTTATTGAAACAGAGAAGACGCTTTATCTTGTGATGGAATATGCAAGTGGAGGTGAGCTCTGAAGTTCATACTGAAGTATGGAGTATACAACATTGTGTAACTACTACTAGTACATACTTGTGTGTCCATGAAAGTACTTTATGAGCTGTGTGAATATAGGGTGTTTATTTGTGTAATGTGGTTTTTCCCCAGAGCTGAAACATAATGCAAAAAGACCTTTGATACTCATAACATTTATAGGTGCATCTGTGATATTTTGGGACATTATTCGTGTGGGATTTGGTTTTCCAGGTGAGGTGTTTGATTACCTGGTGTCTCATGGGAGAATGAAAGAAATAGAGGCTAGAGCCAAATTCAGACAGGTGAGACATTTACCTAATGACTACAGCACATACAGTTTAAGATCAAGGTGTTGTCACATTAAGCTTCTGGTTTACAGTTTCATCTCCAGTTTCATGTGTTTTAATTGGGTCGTATTTTTTTTTTTCTATTTCATTTCAGATTGTGTCAGCTGTTCATTACTGTCATCAGAAGAATATAGTTCACAGAGATCTAAAGGTACGAGTTTGAATCTTTACACTGCAAATCTGATTTTTGTCTTGTTTTCACATTAACAATATCTGAAACATCTCTTAACACTTTTCATTTTACTTGAGAAGCAAAATTGTGTGAGGATATATCTTGAATTATGCAGATTTTTCAAACCCCATTAAATCTTATTCAGTTTTGATAATAATTAATCATTTTAAAGATACAAACATATACAAAAAAAAAGTTTTTTTAGCACTGTACAAGCACTATGCTGTACAAGTATTATGTACTATTACTGTTTGTAGTATTTGTTTGTATCACTTTCTGTCCTGTTTATTTCTCTTTGTTTTTCTCTCCTTCACACAGTTCATCTGTACAACTTAATTATTTTTCTGCCTCCTTCACACACTCATGACTTTCTGTATTTGTAGGCAGAGAATTTGCTGTTGGATGCAGATGCTAACATAAAGATAGCAGACTTTGGCTTTAGTAATGAGTTTACGTTGGGAAATAAGTTGGACACCTTCTGCGGTTCCCCGCCTTACGCAGCTCCAGAGTTGTTTCAAGGAAAAAAGTATGACGGGCCAGAGGTGGACATCTGGAGCCTGGGTGTCATCCTCTACACGCTGGTCAGCGGGTCTCTTCCTTTTGATGGACAGAACCTCAAGGTACAATTACTTTGTTCCTACACTCACAATGATAATTTCCTGCCACTTTACTCCCTACGGGGAAATAATTGATACAGTCTCTTATTGCAATATTCTATGATTGTGTGATATTGATAAACTGACACCAGTTACATTTCTATTTACAACAAGAAATGCACTTCCATTCCTTAGTTTAATTGTTTTTTGAAAGACATCTCTTTTACTCACCAAGGCTGCAAAAATACAGCAAACATCGTAATGTTGCGAAATATTATTACAATTTAAAATAATTGAATTCTTTGATCAATAGAAAGTAATAATTTTTTAATTAATTGAATGCACCCTTTCTGAATAAAAGTATTAATTATAATAAAAAAATCTTGGTAGAGTACATTGAGGGAAATGTTTTTTTTACGGTACTTTGAATGTGTCTTAACTTTGGTTTTAAACATTTCTTTAAACAAGTTTTAAACAAGTTCTTTAAACCCTTATTTCTAAATTCTTTAGTATCTTACTGTCTAAAGTTTATGACACACCAAGCCGACGTCAAAGTCGCCATGGAACTGTTCCTGTTTTTACATGGAATGCAAGAACAGAGCGAATAAAAAAATTCTACATAAATGTAATATAAAATTAGATACAGGTTAGGTAGATTAGGTACAGAAATTGAATAAAGTAATCAAATGGGTATAGTCTTCACTGTATCATTTAAATATAGATCAATCCTTATTAAAGTTACAAAAGTTATTCAGTCAAGAGCAACGAGTGATTTTTTTACAGTGATTCTTTTGTTGTTTGATTAACATCAAAACACAGACAGCAGCAGGAATATTAGGCTGCTGTCACTTTAAGACATAATGCACGGATCTGATACCGTTACACATGAGTTTTCTTTCTCCGCTGTTTACATTCACTTAAGACATAACTGTATGTTAAGGATACTCGCCAAGACTGTTTTTTTCACATCATTTTGTGTGAAATTGTCCATTCAAGCGCAAGAAGACTTGAAAGAGAGCTCAATTCAGTATTTGGGTGCTGTCAGATGCTGCTTATTGGGCACACAGCGCATGTGAGTTGTTGTTCGCATCTTCTTGCGCTTGAATCTTTAAATTGGCAAAGCTTAAAAACACGTAAATCTTCTTGACGATGCAGCACTGCCCCGATCGGGACCGTGACAGTTCTGTCAACTCTTGGCCATCGAGCATTTAGAAGTGTCAATTCTCCTAGCGTGTCAATTCTCTTTACGTGGCATGTGTAAGCCCCTCTTTTTCTCTCACGTTAAGTGTGCGTGTGTGAGAGAAAGCGACAGAGGGTGCTCTCAGTTGAGCGATGGTACATAAAGTTCACCAGGCAATGGAATTATATCTGCGCTAAACTTATTTTTTTTGCCTCTATCTCAATCACAGGCGACTGAAATCATACAATTTAATAGCCATTAGCTAATTAAATAAGTTTTTTAGTGAGTGATTTACTCGCACTGTAGAGGGTTGTTCTTAATTCCATGTTGCTCATGTTATGTTATGAAAATATTTGCACACTGGAATGCTCAGGTAAGATGATGTAAAATTAGAATAGCCTTTTGTCTCTGCTGTCTTGACTCGCTTTCATCACTTTCACTTTTATTCTTGAGCACTGACACATTCTCTAGACTGAACAGTCAATCAGAGCAATCAGGGCAATCTCTCTCACCAACGGCCCCGATACGGATTCAATATTCTGAATGAGCCGAAAACTAGCCTGACAGAAGCTCACCAATGGCCAACTGTCGGCTTGGTGTGTCAAGACCCTTAAGACCACACTGATATCTGTTTGTCACATTGTTTGCTGGTGCATGTGTTTTCCAGGAGCTGCGTGAGCGAGTGTTGAGGGGGAAGTACCGTGTACCCTTCTACATGTCCACAGACTGTGAGGGGATTCTGCGCAGGTTTCTTGTGCTCAATCCCAGCAAACGTTGCACTCTAGAGGTGCCTACTTGCACATTCATTGATACTCTCTACCATACCAAATACTAATGTGCCTATTTCTGTGATGTAGGATGTACAGCATGTATTTGCTGGAAGTCGCTAAATGCTATTATTAGTGTATGATTCGTGTTAAGTCAAAGCAGATAAATGAATGAGCTAAGAAGTTTATGTGTAGTCAGGATGCTGGTATTTCCTCCACAGCAAGTGATGAAGGATAAGTGGATGAATTCAGGGTTTGAGGGCGATGAGCTGAAGCCTCACATTGAGCCAGCAGAGGACTACAGTGACGCCAACCGCATTGGTGAGCATGTAGACCAGTAAGAAACTGGTTAAAGTATTTTACTGCTGTTACTAACTGTTCTGTTACTGTGATGCATAGAATAAAGAGAATGATTGCGTCTGGAAATATTTCTTTCTGTTCTCACTTATTTATTTGTCTTTTCAGAGATTATGGTCGGGATGGGTTTTACTACAGAAGAAATTAAGGACTCTTTACTCACTCAGAAATATAATGAAGTCACGGCTACATATCTACTGTTGGGCCTGAAGACTGAGGTAGTATATAATACATGAGGTAAACAAAGTCCTGAAATCTGTGTTTATTTATTTATTTTCATTGCTTTTTGGTCATAGGATGGTGCTGAGTCACGAGTTAGTGGCAGTATGACGTTGCCACGTGTGCGTCCAAGCCCAATGACCAATGGAACCAACAAACAATCCTCTTCTTCATCATCTTCCTCATCTTCACACAGCAAGACTCAGCGCAGCGCCTCTACCTACCACCGCCAGCGACGGCACAGTGACTTCTGTACGAGACACTTGAGCTTCAACTCTAAACATAAACGTACTTCTAATTGTTTATGATTATAATCATTATCAGTTTGTTCTGCAGGTGGTCCTAGCATGCCTGTGATGCACCCTAAGCGTAGCCCGACCAGCGGTGGAGATCGTGAGCTGCGTGAGAGCCGCATGCCGCCGAGGAAGGCCAGCTGTAGTGTAACGGGCAGTCGAACCCTACCACCATCTAGTCCAATGGTCAGCACCGCCAACAACCCCAACAAGGCAGAGATACCTGATCGCCGCAAGGAGATGACCGCCACCACAGTGAGAGAAATTTCTCTAATTGAATCATTATTTTATTATATACACACTATTGTTGAAATGTTTGGGGTCAGAAGTTTTTTCTTTTTAAGAAATTAATAAATTTATTCAGCAAGGACGCATTAAATTGATCAAAAGTGAGGGTAAAGACATTTACAAAGTTAGAAAAGATTTCTATTTCAAATAAATGCTGTTTCTATTCATTAAAGAATTTAAGCATGTGGTGGTGATGGCGCAGTGGATAAGACACTTGCCTTTGGTGTGAGAGACCCGGGTTCGGGTCCCTGAGCAAGACACTTAACCCCTAGTTGCTCCAGAGGTGTGCGACCTCTGACATATATAGCAATTGTAAGTCGCTTTGGATAAAAGCGTCAGCTAGATGAATAAATAAAATAAAAATAAGAAAATAAAGAATCCTGAGAAAAATGTGTCATGGTTTCCAGAAAAATATTAAGCAGCACAACTGTTTTCGACATTGATAATAATAAGAAATGTTTCTTCAGCACCAATAATAATAATATAATAAAATAGAAAAGTTATTTTACATTGTAATAATATTTCACAATTTTGTATTGTATTTTTGAGCAAATAAATGCCACCTTGATGAGCATATGTGACTGAATCCTAAATATCAAAAATAATCATTTTGCACCATAATTCTTTTTTAATTTAAATTTTTAATACTTAAACTTTCTGTTTATTTTAATTACATTTTTAATCCTAGGTTTTCAATATGGTCTCAGAGTGTTGGATCCCATTTTATGAGTGTACGTGTGGCATTGTGTTTTGTAATGACATTCGTTATTTTGTGGGGGGTTAATGAAATGTTGTCTGCCATCTTCCTTGCAGAACAATATCCCAGGAAGTACTATGACCCGTAGAAACACGTACGTATGTACAGATCGTTCCAGCACTGACCGACACTCGCTGCTGCAGAACGGCAAAGACAACAGGTGACCAACACACATTCACAAACACAGTCACACTCTGTCACTGTGCTGCATATTGCAGTGCCCTGTCTGACTCTCATTCACTATCTGTGTCTATCTCTCCTTAGCTCTCTGTCTCACCGCCTCCCTCCCACCTCTCCCTCCACTCTCAGTATTGTTGGAGCGGGAGCATCCTCCTCTTCTTCCTCAGGTGAGCGCTGTCGGCTGACACGTGGATCCACCATCCGGAGCACCTTCCATGGGGGTCAGCTCCGTGACCGTGTACCGCCCACCTATGGACCTCCGCCCACGTCGCCCACCCTGAGTCATGACGCTGGAGCCCTGCCGGCCAATGCCCGCAGCCGGGCCACCTCTAACCTGTTCAGCAAACTCACCTCCAAACTCACACGCAGGTAAGAGAAGTTCTCATCATACATATAAAAACATATGCATAGCTATGCATTAAAAAGTATCGCACATCACATGACAGGAAACAGGTTTAAGCATCATTTAGAAGGGAAAGCTGTCTCTGATCCAGATCCCTCTGATTCTAAAGCTGTTTACTCTGACAAAGTTTTTTTTTGCTGGAGGTTTATTGGTCACTGTACCTTTAGTCACTACCTGGCATTTGTGCTGCTGGATGCAGCAGTGTATAATCCATTATATCATATGGGCTTGACATTAACACCATCCAAGCCGCCAAATGCGGGTGGATTTCAGCAGTGGCGTGTAACGCATTCACTCCTTCTAGCCACTTTGGGAGGGCTGAATTTTATATATAATATATTTATATTTCTATTGTAGTCTTTTAAAAGGCATCTGAAATAATAAACTAAGTGTAATTTAGTGTTGTCACAAATATTGATTTTTTGATACATATCGATGCTGAAATATCTGAAACGCTTCCAATACTCATTTTCCGCAGAATAGATACACCAGCTGCACTTTCTCGCACTTTCTCGCTTTCTCATCTCTCCGACAGCGAGTTAACACACAAACCCGCCTCCCCTCACTCACTCGTTTCATTTGCTCCGGATGAATATTGTTGTTGTTACAGGGGGATTGCGCGTTTTGCACATAATTTTATTCCTGTGGATTTTGTGCTCAGACCCAAAGTATGTCCACATAAAGCTGCCTCTCAGTACAATTGAGTTATTTACATTTACATTTAGTCATTTAGCAGACGCTTTTATCCAAAGCGACTTACATCTGAGGACTAAAGCAAGGGAGTCATCGTGAAGAGGGAAGAACGACGCAAGAAGTGCTCAAAATACAAAGTTCAGGCATTGCTCAGAGTAGCAAAAGCCAGACAAGGGAAGATTTAAAAGGGAAGGAAAGATTTGAAAGAGAAGAATTTTTTTTTTTTTTTTTTTTTTTTTTATGTTAAGTACTCACGGAAGAGATGAGTTTTCAGTTGTCTTTTGAATGCTGTCAGGGATTCTGCATTACGGACGAGGGTGGGGAGTTCATTCCACCAGCATGGAACCGTGAATGAGAATGTTCTGGAGAGTGATTTAGTGCCTCGCTGTGATGGCACCACGAGCCGTCGCTCCTTGGCCGATCGTAGGCTTCTGGTAGGGACGTAGACTTGTAGTAGGGAGTGAAAGTAGGACGGAGCTGAGTCTGTGGTAGATCTGTAAGCAAGCGTCAAAGCTTTGAATTTGATGCGAGCAGCGAGTGGTAGCCAATGCAGGGAGATGAACAGCGGAGTGACGTAGGGCCCTTTTGGGCTCGTTGAAGACAAGGCGGGCTGCAGCATTCTGGATCATTTGTAGAGGTTTAGTAACACATGATGGAAGTCCAGCCAGAAGAGCATTGCAGTAATCAAGCCTAGAAATAACCAGGGCCTGGACGAGAAGTTGTGTTGCATGCTCAGTTAGGAAAGGCCTGATCTTCCTGATGTTATACATTGCAAACCTGCATGATCGAGCTGTCTTTGTAATGTGGTCTGTGAAGGTCAACTGGTCATCAAATATTACTCCAAGATTTCTGACTGACCTTGATGGGGTGATTGAGGATGACTCTAGCTGGATAGTGAAGTCGTGCTGTAGAGATGGATTGGCAGGGAGGACGAGAAGCTCAGTCTTTGCCAGGTTGAGCTGCAGGTGATGTTCCTTCATCCATGCCGAGATGTCCGCCAGACAGCTTGAGATCCGTGCAGCTACTGTGGGATCATCTGGTTGAAATGAGAGCTGCTTAATGCACTTAACCAGTCAAATACACACAAAATAATGTTAAAATGCCAGTCTTGGTGAGTATTCATGTATTCATGTTTTGTTTTAAGTGAACGTAAGCAATTAAGAAAGAAAACGCATGTGTAACAGTATAATGGATCCGTGCATCCGGTCTTAAAGTGACAGCAGCCTAATACACCTGCTGCCAAATTTTAATATTTTAATATTATCTCATAATTTGGCAGCAGGTATATTAGGGATTCCTTAAAAAAAAAAAAAGAGCTACAGTACAACCTGTCCAATAACACTGGGGTATTCTTTCAGATTAAAAATTAGATGTACACTCATGCTTCACACCTCCTTGGCGTATTGCCTCTTTTTTTCAAGCTTTCCAAGCTTACAAATGTGTACTTTTCCTAATCTCTCCCTCTTTGTTCTTATTTTTCTGTTACCTTTCTTTCTCCCCATTTGCTCTCACTATCACTCAATCCTTCTGTCTTTGACTTTCTCTCTGTCTTTCTCTTGCTCTCCTCGTTGTGTTTCTCTCCTAGGGTCAATCTTGACCCCTCTAAACGCCAAGGCTCTAATAAATCAGTGTCGGGTTGCACTCTTCCACAGGGATCCAAAACAGTTAGTAAGTTCCTTTGTTTGCCTGTCTGTTGCCGCTGCACGTCCGTCGTTCTCTGCACATGGCACGCCTATCTGCATGCAATGTCCTTTGCAGAATTGTGCGAGTCTGATAAATAGGTTGTGAGGGTGAGGAAAGTCTGGATGATGGTGCATGGAGGTTTTGTCTCTAATCGGTTTGCATGCATCCAGGAACATACAAAAGTTTTTATTCGTTATGACTGTTGTACTTTGCTCAGGATCAACATCAGGATAGTTATAGTTATATTGACCAAATTACAGATTAAATTGCTGGGTCATCTTCATACAGGACTGAGAGATCCAGATAAGCATGATTGTCTTTTTGTTAGTTATGTTGGAGTTGTGTGAATGGATCGGTCACTGTTGGGATAATGCAGATCATCTCAAGATGTGTGCTTTTTTGCAGGATCACAAATGAATCTGAGGGAGTCAGCAGATCTTCGGTCACAGGGTGAGTCCTCATATGATACTACACTTTATGATCAAGAAATATCCAATTAAATGTTCATGTCATGCCAACTTTAAGAACAGACTTTGTCAACAGATTGCAATGAATAGACTAATATAAACTTAAGTTATGGATAATTTATAGCATAATTGTTATACATTTAAATAACACTAAAGTATTAATACATACACAAAGTAAAAAAATCTGCCAATAATTAACATAAAAATATTATTAATAAGTAGTAATAGTAAATAATAGTAATACAAATAATAACATTATACAATTGCATAAAACAAGGGTGATGAAAGCAGTGACTTCTTTCTGAAGATGTGAATCTCAAATATGAGTTTTGCAGAAACTTTTTTTTTGTAAATCTTTCTCAGTATTGCTCTCTCTCGTTCTCATGCTCTTTTCCTCTCTATTTTCCAGTGGCCATTTATCTGGGGATCAGAAAGCGTCCCAGTCCTGGGGCAGGGGAGGGGGGTGGGATGTAAGGGGTCGTTTCCCCCGTCCCCCCCGGGCCCCTGCAGAAGTGGTACTGGCCTTGCGTGAGGCAGCGAGGGGATGCGGCTGCCAGGTCCGGCACGCTGGCCCGTTTCTGCTGTGCTGCAGTCATGGATCGGCAGGATCAAAAGTCGCATTCCAAGCTGAGGTGTGCCAACTGAGTGTGGGTCCCGCAGAGACAAACGGAGTTCGCTACACACGCCTGTGGGGGGCTCCCCTCGCCTTCAGGCACATCGCATCACAGATCTCTAAAGAGGTGGAGCTCTGAGGGGACGGGGGAGGAGACTTGACTCGTAGATGTCCCCTCACTATATCCGTTGTTATAGAGATCTGACCTATGTGTTATAGACAAAATCTGATCCCTCCAACAACACTCAACACACACCTGAACACACATACACGTAAACAAACACAGTCACCTTAAAAGCACGGGACACTCAATCCTGACAATATGGAAATCTAAAGTACAAAAACAAGCACACCCCTTCCATGCATAAACATGAGCGCTATTAGAGCGCTACAGATACACACACACACACTCACTCTCTGAAAAGCCTCATTCACTGGGTCTGGATTGAATCCAGTTTAGTATTTTTATTCTCATTCTAGTCATGAAATTCTTACTTCAATAATTGATGTCATTCTTTTTTTTAACCACTTTTGTATGTTTTCAACAAGTCTTGACATTTTAAACGGGTCATCATTTTTATGTTTTTGTGATTTAATGTGTCTTACATTTTCTTAATACTAAGTCAAAGCATTGAATCATTGACAATGTAGGACTGTAGCTGCCAATGAACTATATGCACAAATGTGAAGTTGGCAAACGTATCCTAACTTCATCATAGCTCACGGTGCGCACCCAAATCCACATCACATTCGCTGGCGACCACAAATTTGATCAGGCTGCAAGCCAACCATCTACACTTTGTTTTTGAGATTGTCCGAGCAAAATTTTGTTCCCTAGATTAGAAATCTGTTTTTCTGATGTATAGTGCCAGTTTACTTACTTTCTACCATGTTTAATTTAGAAGAGACATTTAATGCCAAATGACTTTCCCTGACCCTTCTCGGACACAGGCACGTTGATTGGTTGGTTGTTAATCCTTCATTTCAACTCCTAGTTAGTTAAACTTTGCAAATAGTCACCTCTCCTTTTATCCAGTCTGAGTGGAGTTGAGGTTATCACATGAGTGATTTTACTAAGACAGATGGTTTTAGTGTTCAGTGTCATAAAAAAGACACACTTCCTGCATTGTAGATATCTGATTAAATTGCATGTCTAGAAAAAAACACCTTTCTTATTCAATATTATTGAATTGTCAATAGATTCTCTCCCACCTCCAGTATTAAAAAGAAATAGAAAAGTAAATATCCAATACAGAAATGGTGTTTGCATTGCAAAATATGTTGTGGTTCAGCATTAGCAGACATTAAATCATAGTCACATTCATTAGCACACACGTGTCAGCTTTTTTCTTTAAAATTCCCAGGCTTTATATATGACTAAATTGGTATTGAAAAATATTTTGATCCCTTACCCAATCATTTTGGCACCAGATATCTAAAATGCAGGATGTTTTAATGCAAGAGTACAGGAAGAGGTTCAGTGCTCTCACTACTGAAATATGTTTTTGGGGCAAAGGCACCAACAGGGCTTTGAAAAACGTGATTTATTTATTTATTGTAAAATCAGTTGCACTTGCAATCTTGTAATAATATGGCATCTATATGGCTCTGTTTCCATTGCAAAATCTTAACAATGCTGTGTAACTAACAGAAATGCAGTTTAAAAATGGACCATGGACATTGTGTCATGGACTGGTCATGTTTTTGCTATAGCTCATGTTGGTTTTTATTCATACACAAGTTTGTCTCTTTAACAGATTTGTAATCATGTTATTATCAATTTAACAGGGGTTTCATTTGCAGGTTTGAGACCTGAATAGAATATATATGCTGCTTCAGATTTTTCTGTCATGGGTAGAATTAGGTTTGTTTGGAGCTTATTTTTAAAATAATACTCTTGGCTTACTTTTTGATCGAACCAGTTCTGGTTTTTGATGTGTAACAAGGCCTAGTTTTGCAATAGTTGTCAATTTGCCAAGCATAAGCAATTCACAACCGACGGTGATCAAAATGTAATTGTGAATGGTGATAATTGTGCAATAGCATTAGATGTTACTGTCATGTCTAGAAGTTGTTTCTATCTTAATGCAAAGCCATGCTTTGACCCTGTTGGTGCTGCCAGCCCGTAGACAGTACGATATTGATCAAGGACATGGTTTGAGCAATGAGGGCATAGTGTATAGGACACTTGCTAGTTCAGTTTGGATAAACAGGTTGATTTAATATGGTTGGTCTGTTATTTTTTGATTGGGGAATCATTGTGCTGTCATGTGTGAAATATATTGTAGATACTAAAGGATTATATGCCACTTTCTCCATGTTTGTGATGGCATCTCCCTCTGTTCATGAGAGGGTGTTGGATTGTGGTACAGAAAACAAGCTTGGTTCTTGATTTTGGTTTTGTCTGCTGCAAGTATGTCAAATGCTTTGAGATGCTTGAAAGTTCACTTGTTATGACTGACTCCACAGGTATCACTGTGGTGCTTCACCATTGACCTTTAGCCAGACAGTGAGCCTCCTAGCCCACCTTGCAAGTCTGACATCTTATCATTCATCCACTTTTTGTTGTTCACTTTATTCTCTGCTTTTGTGCCGCACATTCGCAAAGACACCTAGTTTCTCCTCGTCCAATTGCTGAATCACTGGAAATCCTCGTGTCATTGTTCTGTCTGCTCTGTGACTGGACTCCTGTTGTGGAGACGCTCCCTGTTTTAAACTGAACAGGGTAAAGACTGCACGTCCTGGACCAGTCTGACCCGGTCTCCGCATCAGACCGGCTCTGTCTGGTTTGGACTGCTAGGATCTGTATCTGTTCGACGTCCATTAAGACCTCTGTGCACTCATGTTGACTTGAATCAGCTGCATCCTATGGCTCTGTGGGTTTATACCCATGTTTGGCCACCGGAAGGCGCCAATGTCTTAAATGTGAACACTTCGAATTGTGTATATTTGCACAGGTACTTAATTTATTTTCTAGAATAATTATCTTGGGAGAAAAAAATTATTGGTTTATATCAGTCAAATTCTGGCTGTATATAAAGATTATGATACTGATGATAATATTGTGAGTATAGTATATACAGTATTTTAGAATTCCAGGTAAATTCATAGCTAGAGCAGAGACCCTCTGCTAGCTCTCCAGACGTTTCTATGTGTGCTGAAGTGAAACACTAAACTGCAATCCTGCATGATTCAGAGCAAGGATGGAGAAAGAGAGACTACATATGTGAAATAACAGAACGGGCAAAAGCAAAAGAATTTGAGGGAGAGAGAGAGCGTGTATGCGTGTGCATGTATGTGTGAATGTGTGCGTCTGTGTATTGCGCTACTCTGTTGACCTGCCTCCCTCTCTCTCTCTCTCTCTCTCTCTCTCTCTCTCTCTCTCTCTCTCTCTCTCTCTCTTTCTCTCTCTCTCTCTCTGCTGGTAGGAAATGTTTGTGTGAGAGGATGGCAGCCATACTTGACCTGGAGTGAAAGTGTGTCCGTATGAATTAGCTTTTCTTGATGTTATTTAAAGGCATTAAAAAGAGTATTAGCGAGAATTGTGAGTTGGTGTGCCGGGCGTGAAACGTCTGAATGACAAATCCCTCCAGTTCAGTGTTGTGCTGTCTGTGATGTAAACTGTATGCTATGATATTGGGTTTCTCATGATGCATTTAGCTAATATGCAATATGACAAGAGAGAAGTCAGGTGGGCAAACTATATATGAGAGAGAAAGAGAGTGCAAGAGAGAGACAGAGAGATTAAAACCTTGATGCTGTTTGCAGAAAGTAATTTCGCCCCCTTCGCCCCCCCCCCCCCCCCCAACCCAACCCAACCCCAGAGGTGTTTGCACCTCTGGCCAAATATTAAAATGGAAACAAAAAATCTTGAGAGAAAATAAACTTCACTGATGTTGGCGTCTTTGCTTGTGTTCAATTATTGTTTGGTGTATTTGTGTTTTATCCGGATTTATGGCAAAGTCTGTCCCTCTTGTATATGGGTACTTTATTTGGTGTCTGACTAGAATAGATAGGATATCACTTATGTATTTATTTATCTATCATGAATTTATATTATTATGAATATGTTAAAGTTCCCCTGTAGTCAAAAATTGTATCCTTTAAAACTCATCTTTGATCACCAAAATGACATATTTAAAAAAAAAATCTTCATGCCTTAAAATAGCTTCTATGCAACTCTACACCCTTGCTTCATTTAGTATGAACACCAAATACACACTGATCCCTAGACCTACCCGTCACTGTAACCTTAACCAATTAAATTGGGGGGGTATATTATTAGTCTTTTGCTTGACTATGTTGCTAATGTTACACAAACTGTTCCTGTTCGCCATCTCAGTCTGCCGGCACGTTGATGTGATTGGTTACAAGGTAGTTTGTGACGTAAATTATTTTTAACTTTCATCTACTGAAACTATATATATGCTCACAAATATGATAAAATACAAGATGTGTTTAGAAGAGATACTTAGTAGAGTATATGTTTTATGGGGTATGTTTATTCAAATACAACTTGATTGATTCACTTTTTACAACCAAGGCTGAAATTGAGGTGAAGCCTCGACGTCAGGCACTCACACCTGCACCGACAATCTGATCCCAAGATGTTACCAACTGAACAGGAAACAAAGTGGAAAAAAGTGATGGCGAAATGACATGGAAAATAAAGAAGAAAGGAAAAAGGAAAGCAAGACAGATGCAAAGGCTAGACTGTCTATGTGTTTTCGAGCAGCAGTTTCCTCTGTGTTGATGTAAGATTGCATGATGGACTGTAAAAAAAAACACAAAGACGAGGAAAAAAAAAATAGAAGGGCTCCCGCTTTACTTCTGGGCAGGGATCATGCTGTCGATTGACTCGCCCTTCTCCAGCTTCTTCTCCATCTCGACCATCAGCTTAACGCCATCAACCACACACTGCACCTGGTCAACCTCTGAAGAGCCTATACGGTCAGCATTGGAAATGTCAAACACTCCACCAACGGAAGCAGTGTCCACACCACCTGAGAGAAATAAATGAAGATGGAACAAGTGGAGGTCAACAAATGGAGATGTTAACTACATGTCTTCATCAACATCAATAAGCATTTCTATGCTTTTTGCATATGTATGTTCAGTGTTTGTATACCTGTGCCACGCTTCTGCAGGCGCAGTCTGGTCAGGATCTCCTCAAACTTGGCATGTGTGCTCAGCTTGGGCAGCTTGACGTGGACACCACCACGCAGTCCTGTGCCCAGGTTGGAGGGGCAGGTCAGAATGAAACCAAGATGCTCGTTCCACATGAATCCATGGTTGTGCTTCTTGAAAATTTCCTCAATCTGTCAAAGCAGAACACACATATGCTCACATGCTCCAGGTGACAACAGTCAGTTATGTGTGTGCATTTATTTATGCATGTTCTCCATACCCTCTGAAGACCAACGCAGAAGCGCTTGAACACTTCCTTCATGTTGCCACCCTTCTGCATGGCAATGACACGCAGATGATCCTCCTCATTCACCCAGACCAGGAAGGTCTTGTTCTCATTGTGCCTGTAATTGAAGCATAGGCATCCATTTACAATACAAAACCTAATTTTTATCACCCAGCTAATATAAATGGTCTTCTATTGAAGACACCAAACATGGAGTTGTTCAGAACTATTTTCATTGACGTGGAAAAAACAAAGTAACTGGGAATATATTGTCTAAAATGTTACTCAATATTAACTTCTTGCTATAATGTCAATGTTGCACTTGCAATAATGCTGTTGGTGTGGCTATCATCGTGGATATTCTGAAAAACTGCATTCTTGCTTGTGCGGTATTGATTAATTAAATAATATATTACCTTTGTCCAGTAATTTGACTCATGTGATCATATGTCATTGAGGCTGCATTTAAGAAAAGTAACCATTACTCTGGGATGTAAAGGTTACATTTCTGAAATGAGGGAGTCTCAAAGTAAGAAAGAAATATGTCAGTTTTATAATGGTTACTTTTCTGAAATGAGACAACCTAGACGACATATATGGCCGACAATTGCGACAATGCAGAGCGCAACCTTTGAAATGAGACACAGCAGTATAGATAACTATGATTCGACTTACCAAATGCCTCTGCCATCGGGCCAGTCACGGGCCATACCAGCAGCCAGCAGCAGGGGGGAGACGGGTTTGTCAAACAGGAAGTGGTCAGCGATCAGCTGCTCCTGCTCGGCGTCAGTCATGGACTTCAGGGGGTAATACTTGCCCTTGAACTCTCCGTCCAAGCTGTTCAGAGCTGGAGGAATAAAGAGATCCCAAACTAATGATTCCACACTCTCGTTCTTCAGTTATAATTTTGTGCTATGTACCCTTACAATTCTGAACTGTTGTTGGGGTTTGTAAGGTGTGAAATAAAATAAACTAAAAAAAGTACTAAAACTTTAATTAAAATTAAAACTGAAAATTTTAAAATAATTCAAAGCGTATTGAAAATATGAATCAATATAATAATCATATGTAATAATACTGAAATAACGCTGATGTGTGCACACCTTCAACAGACAGCCTCTCCACAGCTCTGCGCTCTCCACGGGTGTTGTGGGGGGGCAGGGCGTATCCCTTGATGCTGCGGCCGGTACGCACACGGCTGCTCAGAACGTAGTTGGGGTCCAGGTCATCACCACCCTACAAATAGAGATTTAATTCATTTTAGTCCCAAATTTCAAATTATTCAAGTAAATTAACAGTTGAGGTCAAGGAGTTTACTGTTGTCTCCTGTCAAGGATCAATTAAGAGCATCTATAGCCTTTATAAAATATTTGTTATTTCTGTTTTGCACCTTCAGGTTCTCAAAGTTGAGGTCGGTCTTGTGCTTGTCAGTTGCCTTGTATCCACCATGGCGGTCGGAAATGACAGGGTCGAGGAGATCCTTGAAAACTTCGTAGGACTCCTCATCACCAGCAACGCAGCCGACGGTCATGATGAAGGGGTGACCTGGAGAAAAGTGTGATCTCATCAGTGTATAGACAGAAGAAAACATATTGTGCTTCCTGAACAAATCCAGGTTTGATTGGGGTAAATACTGAATGTGGTAAGGATGTACAACTGATGTCTTTGCTCACCTGGGTTGTCAACACCGGTCTGGATGACATCATCCAAGGTGTACCCAGTGGGGGTCTGCTTGTCCCTAAGCTTGGCATAGATTTCCTTAGTCAGCAGCTTGGCCATGTGGTTGTTGTGCTTGGTAAGGTCTGGATACTCATCATCAACTGAAAAGTTCAGCTTGAAGTTGTTGTGGGTGTTTCCGAAAGGCATGGTTGCGTTTCTAACACTGCGGATTGGACAAAGAGAACGTGAGAAAGATTATTTGCATTTGATTCCTTGAATTTTCATATATTAATTCCACACACGCACATCTCACTTGTCTCTGACCTCAACTGTTTGAACTTAATTTGATTAATTCTGCTTAGTCAGTTAGGCTGGAAAAAGTTACTTCAACCAAACGTGTAAAAGCTTGCCACACTGTCGCCAACTGCTGCAAACACTAGCTTCAAGTTTATATGTATAAAAATGTAGTAAGAAATTGACCATTTACCAAATGGTTTCAAAATGTGTTTACAGCATGCTGACTGAAATCAATGAAACTGTATTCCGTGCAGAACCATAACTGCTTAAACATCAGCTTCCATTGAATTGAGAAGAATGATACACATGTGAAACACAGCTGCACACATTAAAACAGTCTGTCTGGTATACTAGCAAGTTCCACTTGAGGTCCTCACTTGTTATTTGATATGTCTGATTGTAGGAATCGGAGAGATGCTCCCCAGGCTAAATCTATACAGATCTATTTTTACTATGGTGTTCACTCCCTCCCATTACTTTCACATAATCTCGAACCTCTCCAAAAAACATTGCACTGTTTTCCACATAAATAGTCACAAAGCTTTGTGTTATTAAATTATTCCCACATGTTCTGACCAGTTTACTCAGACTCACGTGTTAATCATGTCATGGTTGTGTAATGATATCGTTTAGATGAAATCAAGTTCTATGTAACATACAAAACATAACGTTGTCATTTGAATTCTTTTGTATTCATTTCTGTTCTGTGGAATACACCTATCAGAAGATACTCGCATGATTACCACAAGATTCTATTTTAAGAAAAGCCAGCAGAGGGAACCTGTCCCATATGTGTCAGTATGAGAAACATACGCACATCTCAGGATTTTTTATGGCTGTATCCGATTATGCTCTCAGAGCTGCTGCATATCACATGTTTGACATCTGCTCCCACATTTAAGCACAGGTCAACCAAACCAAGAGTCCCTCATCCAACATATTTAAACATGCACAAAATTAAAAAACATTACTAACATTTTCATAGTAAATCCAGATGCCTTTGATAAACACTCCAGTATTTCTTTCATGAAAAAGATCATGCATCTGCTATCATGTTGGAGTGTATCATTATCGTAAATACATTTTAAACAAATAGCATCTGACTATGAAGATTTTAAAAGGATTTACAAATTGTAAAATGTATGCAGCCCAGTTAAGCACTTCTATTTTGCTTTTCTATTTTAAGGAGTATACTTACATTTTTCTTTCAATTATTTTATCTAATTTAATTATTGCTTCTTCTTTTTTTAAGACTCTCCTTGCTGTGAATGATGGTTATTCAAGAATGTTGATGTATTTACCTGCACAA